ACCTATCTCTTTTTGTCTACTATTTCCCCTTTCCCCCATCCCAAGTATAATGGTAGCCAACCAAGCCAAGCTTAGTTAACCTTCCTGCCTTTGCTCTCAGTTTCATTTTTTCTCGGACCAGAAACCAAATATTCAAGCCACTGAGTGGTTTGAGCCATCGGAAGTCTGCTATCTTAATGAAGAGCCGGTGCAGGACGTGAAATCAAGCTTAGTGCCACGCAACCTAGTTCAACGGCAATCGCGAACGTCAAAACGGGCCTAAGCGTCACCCCTGAGCACAATGAGAAACTCGACTTACCCATAGAATAGTATCGTGACTGGGTTGCTGGCAGCGTCTTAGACATTGGCCGCCCCAATGCGTCAAATATTAAGATAAAATAACTTCAACTGGACAACCCGTGAGGTTACGCCCATGTCCGTTTTCCTTCGCGGATAGCGAGCATTCGCGAAGACTGAATGAAACAACATTGAAAATACAACAAGAAACGTTTAACCTCTTACTAACCAGGGGACGCCGCATTGTTCGTGCGAGAGCCTACTAATTGGGGTGAATCAAGCGGCAATACAGAGGACTGTATATAATCACAGAAAACTACCCGATAGCCAATATATCGAATCGAGAGGCTGCTCACTGCACGGCGTGAGAGGAAAAAGCATGCAGCAGCATCGCTCCACTGGACAGTTTTAAGCTGTGGAACCAGGACGAGATAGATTTGGATGGGTAAGAGAAAGACTCCGAACGGGATGGTTGGTAATGGCAGGACAGCCGAGGGCACGCGCTCTTGTTGTGCGAGACAGAAATAAAAAGATGGCGCCAGGCCATGATCACCACGCGAGGAGAGCCGGCCGGAGGCCAGAGCTTAATGTGACACCGAAGCAAACCCCGTGGAGTAAGCGCGGGGGCGCGACTGTGCGTTGGGGCCGAGAGCAGAGATAAAAGGGACGGCTGTACAACTATAGAGACGCCATGTTCTTGTCTCTCCAGAAGTTTGAGTTACTTCAGCCTAAATAAACGCCATTTCGTTAAAGTAACGGTTGTTTTTTTGCCACTCTTTTGCCTCCCGTTTCCCTAATCATCATCATTGCCCCGCCACGTTGGTATAGTTACTAAGGTACTCGGCTGCTGACCCGCAGGTCGCGAGATCAAATCCCAGCTGTAGCGGCTCCAATTCCGATGAAAGCGGAAACGCTGTAGGCCCCTGTGCTCAGATTTGGGTGCACGTTAAAAAAACCCAGGTGGTCGAAATTTCCAGAGCCCTCTTCTACGGCGTCTCTCATAATCATATGGTGGTTTTGGGACGTTAAACCACACATAGCAATCATTCAATCATCATCGTTTTGCATCTAACACTATAAAGTAACTCGTCACCCCTATCCTAAGTTTTTCCACTAAAACTAATGTGCTCACTTTCTAATGTTTATTTAGATAATCTCTTGGGCATATACTTGATGGGCAATACGGCTCGTCAGCAAATCAGGGCCATGTGTAGCTGTCGTCTGTTAGGCACTGCATTGAGAGTAGCCTAGTAGAATGGCGTGTAACTCCAACCCTACAAGAATGGATAGCTTTTTAAGACTTCTGGTTAAAACAGATAGCACAACGGCGACACAAGCGAGGAACAAGTTCGCGAAATGAGCGCTAAACTCAAACTAAACAAATGCTATTCTCGTAATGCATGCCACTTTATAAAAAGAAATCAAAACACCATATTGTCACCAAACAAAGAATGACTGATCCAACGTTGAATGTCGTGGCACCAGATCATCTCGATCAGCTCCTATAACAAAGAGGTTACACGCAAAAAGGCTACGAACTCAAACGCGCCATAAAGTATGAGACAGTCAAAATGTGGTGCCCTATTTCAACTATCTTCAGTTTATAGCGCGTATTATTTCGTAGCCTTTTTGCGTGTAACCACTTTGTTAGAGAAGCTGATCAAGGTGATCTGTCGCCACGACATTCAATGTTGTATCAGTCATTCATTCTTTGATGACACTGTAGTGTTTTGATTTTTTATAAAGTGGCATACATTATGAGACTAGCCTTTGTTTAGTTATAGCACTCATCTTGCTTACTTGTTCCCCACTTGTGTCATTTTTTTTTGTGCTACCTGCTTTAAAAGATTTATCTTCTTGAATCTAGTCACTTAGCCTTAACAACCAGCTGTTGTCCTGCCTACGCGCTAAATGCCCAGCCCATGTCCACTTTCCTTCTTCTTGATGTCAGGAATCACACCCTTAACACCCGCTATTTCGCTGACGCTTTATTTTCTCTTCCTGTAGCCTAGGGTTACATATACCATTTCCCTAACCTTTGCTCGCTACGTCGTCCTAAGCTCAAATTCAACTGTTTTTATGAGCCTTTGCAATATGATAAGTTCTTGCCCAACAGGGCTAGTGGTCGTATAAGCATACCGTTGCGATAAAAAGCACGAGCAAGCTTGCTCGAACTTCAAACAGGCAACATAATTTATAAACCAGCTATGCACTGGCGCGCCTGCTTTCTTAGTGTGACGTCCCAGGTGGAGGTGCGGGTACAAGTACGGAACTTCGTAGCGGAGGTCCTCTGCCTGCCGCATCTATTAACAGCAACGAGAAACACCACTTTCTTCTTGTTCCTTTGTCCTCCCCTAGATGCCTTCGCGTCGTGTCAGCTTGGTGGAAAACACTTCTTTTTCGTAACTCTGGGCCGTACAAGATCCTACGCCAACTTTCACGCGTGACGTACTTGTTCTAACCAGCTGGCGTGTCTATGCTACCTCGCGGGAGCAGCGACATTTTTCACGTCACCAGACTCAAGCCGTGTATACCGACATAAACTGATGCTCCATGATTTGCACCGGGTAGGAGCTAAACATGCTTGGAGGACGTTGTTGCGGTAAAGAGAACGAGAATGCTTGCTGGAACTAAAAGATGATGACGTCCCCTATCTGCTGCTTGTGCATCAGGTATATTTACTGTAAGTGCACCAACTCGTGCACTTGCTTTCTGCGTGTCCCAATATAACTAGGCTTGTTCCAAATAAAACTCAGCACGAATAAAAAGGAAAAGACTATCGCTACGCAATGCACAACTACTGCACATATTTACCAGTATGCTTCAGTGGCTGCTGCTAAGTTTTTTGTTAATTATGTTTGTGTAGCTCATCGTTTTTACTTTTCTAACTTAACAAATATTCACGTATTCATTAAACCGTCAGTTAGGCGTCTGCAGGCATGTTCAAATGACATTTAACTCTGCTATATTCTAGAGAGTATAGTAGATGCGTGCTAGTTTTTCTTCGAATAATAATGAAAACCCGCGAAATCTGCAAAATTTTATGTAGCTAGACTGCAGCATGCATCAGGAAGCAGCGACTTCGAACAGAATTTCCGTGACATAGCCAGTCGAGGCGGAACTACCACTTTTAAATGTGAAGCATTTTTAGCGAACTTTGACTACATTGAGCGTACCTATCTATATATCTAGCCGCCTAAGACATTTGCTCTCCTGGCTGTTCCGATATGGTATCAATACCAAACTTGGTAGGGCGAAACATCCCTGCATGAACAACATATTCGACTAGTCATAACATGAAAATCATGACATGTATGTCATCAATGTCATGATTTACATTTCAAGGTCCTGAAGCTCATGCAGTGGTTTCGTTCACATGGCATGTTGCAGAACTGGTACAGTATGGCATGATTGCCTGGCGAACACAAGCGACAAACTCTAACATGAGAATCATGACATGCGTGTCATGTAACAACATGACTGCATGTCACGCTCATGGTGCGCTCGCGGCCGTTTCGCTAGCGTCACATATACCGAATTTGGTATTACGAGGCGTTATTAGAAGACGAAGATATGATACTGGTGCAAACATGCTAAACATGAGATGCGTGTCATGTAACAACATGACTGCATGCTACGCTCATGATGCGCTCGCAGCCGTTTTGCTATCTCCACATATATTAAACTTGGCATCACCTGACGTGAATAGAAAACGACAGTAAACGACAGATCCAAACATGATAATCGTGACACGGAAGTCAAGTACGGCATCATTTACCCGGACCTCGTAACGTTGTGCTGATTTTAAAGTGACATATCTACATTCCATATTCGTGCTTCGCATATCATCGATTCCCACTGTACGTGGAATCAGCCATTTTTTCCCAGTGAAAGTTTAGAAAGTTACTTTTCATATTTCGTGTGCTTTCTTCTTCAGCTGTACAAAACAAAAACACGCAATTTATACGTTGCTAAAGAAAGCACTGTTAGATGACATTTAAGCATGCTTATATATGTCTGTATATGTTATATTGAGAATGACGCAGCGAGCAAAGAAAAGAAAAATGATAGGTGTAATTTTAAGAGACAAGAGGAGAGAAGAGAACAAACAGGGAACAAACGGGGGTTAAGGATACCATAGTTGAAATCAAGAAGAAGAAATGGACACGGACCAGTCATGTAGCGCGTAGACAGAATAACCACTGGTCATTAAGGGTAACTAACTGGATTCCCAGAGAATGCAAGCGAGTTAGGGGGAGACAGAAGGTAAGGTGGGCAGATGAGATTAGGAAGTTTGCGGGTATAAATTGGCAGCAGCAAGCACAGGACCAGGTTAACTGTCGGAACATGGGAGAGGCTTTTGTCCTGCAGTGGGCGTAGTCAGGCTGATGATAATATTTGTCTGAAAGACGTTTGCATGATTAGGCTAGAATTCGTCGAGTGTGACACATAAGTATGACGTGTCAACCAGCCCTTATTGAAGAAATATTGGCGGTGGTTAATACAGTATACTAGGAAAAATATGCAATAAGTATGCCTCTATCAATGACGTTCATCTATTTTTTGAAATCGTGCTGCGTGATATTTGGAACATCGTCTATATCATACAACCATTATTTATCTAACCTTATAACCAACAATCATTGAATGAGTACACCTTTTCTTATTATTCTGCGAACGCTACAATCTTCTCATTCCTAACAATCATATTTTTTTTTCTCCAGGAGGAATGTCACATTTACTATTACGGCCGGAACAACTTCAAATCAGGCCAACTATATTGTTGATGCTGGTAAGTACGGTATTTCGGGTAATATTTATTATTTGTAACAAATAACGAGTCCCCAGAATGAGCTCTTGTGTGTAAAAAAAATATTTAGTTTTGCATGATCTGTGAACTAGACAGATAATAACGTTTTTAATATAATATGCAACATTTTTCGTGAGGAATGCATTTACGCATGTCCATTTAAATTTCGATATGCAGCGCTTTTAAACTCTTACTTTATCATGCAGTATGTGCCCGGGAATCGTTCCAGTCTAGCAATCCATATAAAGGCGTCCATGATGGCAGTAGAAAGGGTGACCACTCGAATATTGATGTGGCACTGCGTGTCAGAGCTGTCTCCAGAAAAGGCAAAATAAATACAGTGTCGTGTAGCAAGAAACAGTAAAAAAATGAAAATCTACCTTACAGAACTGTGAGCTAGATTATACAATAATACCCTCTTTGTGATTCTGGCTCTTTGTGTTGGTCATTTTTAAAATTTTTCCTTCCCTTTCTTTGTCTCTGTTTGTACCTATGTTTCGTTCTAAGGAATGCGTTTCTCTCCCTCGTTCTATTTGATTCCTCTTCGCTTTCACTTCACTTTCTCACCCACTTGGTATGCTATGCTATATAATGCTATGTTGCGTTCTACGGGCGTGCTTGGACAGACGAGTAGTTACGGAGCTCGCCTTCGGATCATGGGTTGGCGTATTGCCAAGAAATCTCTTCTCAGCCAAATTTTCTTTATGCATTTTTTTTTGTTCTTTCCCTGGCTCGATACTGGTTCTCTCACACACCGCAGTTTTTCCATCCGACGCAGGACCAATCGGTAGACCTGTTCTGAGGCAGAGGAAGACGGAGGGAAGAAGATAGCGCTTTCCGGTCCTTGTGGATGTTTTCGTTTCCTTTTTTTTTGGCAGTCTGCCTCCAGCGCGGTGCATAAACGTCTCCGATCTTTCGTTAATCGTGTTATGTGAATGCGCCTCAGAAAAAAAGCAAACCTATTCAGGATTCATGTAATGTGAGTTGTTGCGTTAATATATCTTGTGTTTCGTGGCTCAAACATATAATGAAACTAAGCGTCACATCGTGTGATGTGCGCAACTAGGTGAATGAACTTGAAGAGACAGGCGTACTCGACACATGGTGATCTGGCATAATAAATTATCATGAAGCACAGCACCAACAAAGTGAGCCACAGCGTATTTAAGAAACACGCACAGTTGGCACAGTTGACGTGTTTAACGAAAGGCGAAGCGTGGCAAGCGCATGAGAAGGCGATGCAAAGGGGTCTCGGTTGTGCTATAGCGGTTTCTTTTTTAGGTGAAGTTAAAATGTTCTTGAAGTTTCAGGTGTAGTATAGCTGAAAGACGTCGGCGACGGCACCGTACGAGAAAATATAGGCGCTTACGAGCATGCCGAAACGCACGATGGTATGGTGGTAGCACGGGTGCTTGCCGTTTTCCAGTAACTGTAGTTCTCTGGATTGAGGAGTTGGCGGCTAGCAGCCGTTTCCGATATTCTAATCTTATGCTTCATCAAAGGGTGTTGTCACTTCACGTTACCACACTTTACTGTTGCCTTAACTGAACACATGTTTGTCTTGGTTGGCTTAAGCACTTTAAGAGTTGTGCTGCCGAACGCGAAGGGGAAATTTGACTTCCATGAATGGCATCCTTATCAGATCTCGCTTAAAATTGCTGCACATAGTTGGAAACCAGATATTTTTGTTTGATTTCCTTGACATAGCCATTAAGAGCTATGTCTCAGACCTAATTAGGAGGGCGGAGAAAGAAATCATTTAGGACAGTGCGTAATACGATCAAATGAAAGAACAAAGAAACAAAAACAAAGAAAGAAAGAAAGAAAGAAAGAAAGGAAAGAAAGGAAAGAAGCAAGGAAGAAAGAAAAGAAAGTCACAAGTTTGCCACAAAGGCGAACCAATTAACGCGATAGCAAAAAATTGGGAAGTGACGCGCAGAACGGCAAGCAGATCGAAAAGTGCCCCACGTTTTTCCCGCACAAATGACTCACGAAAAGTACTCGCAGGTAAGATGAAAGCGAATAAGCGTCGGAGTTATTTGCTCTGTCTGAAAAGCACGTCCTTCTCGCAAACGCAGACTGTGGAACGATTGCAGTGACCTCTGTGTGCCCCGTAACAACAACAGAATCGTTCTGGTGAAAGCCCAACGCTCGCCAACACATACGATTGTCCCCACCACAGGATAAGCGCTCACGTTAGCGTTCACCCTGCTCCATCCGCGCGGGGCAAAGCACGCGTGGGAGATGAGAATGCGCGCTGCCGCGTCGAGACGATGTGGCGACGCGCGCTCATAGCGCCATTTTGCTGGTAATGCTGAAAATACGATGGTTCCCCTTGAGATTTCCGTCGCCAGCAATAAGTGTTAGATATAAATAGCTTGACGTTGGAACGTTGAAGGAGGCGCTCCTTCGTGGCTGAGCGATAACGCCTCACACTCACACCTCAGAGGCTCCAAGTTCAATTCCGCGGGCCCGAGTCTTTTCTGAAACAGTTTTCTTTATTACGTTCTCATATGTATAGCTACATATACCTATACGGTGAGTAATGCCGACGCCGTCAGTAAAGTCCAGCTGAAGGTGTGCATATAATTGCTATCGCAATGAAAGAAAGAACGTCAACACATGCGAAGCTTGTCTTTTCCGCATTTCCTCTTAAAGAGCATGGGCCACACAATCCGGTAGCTTAACCTACACTGGCCGAGCTTGTGCAGTTTTTTCTGGATTATTGAGATCGGTGCTGGGTATGGCTGAAGAGAACTGGCGTCACATGGCGCGCAGATGACGCGCTCGAGAAGACCTGAAGGCTCCTGGAGTAACGTCTCACTAGTGGCCCGATGCTTTACTCGCGTAAGCTCGCTCGCTCGTCCATCCGTTCATCCGCAGTTTGTTCTACGTATGTTCTGGTATAACCGAGCCAACGCTACTTGAATGCCAGGGCAAACGCACGCTTCTCGACGGGCGCCGTCGGTGCGCCTTATTTCAGAGACCAATTGCGTTGTGACGCTGATGTGATACGTAGCGCCACTTGCGTCACACGTGCTTTTTACCGTTTTCACCCGGAGATGCGGTAGACGTGTTTCCCACTCCAATATACGTGTCAGGTTTATTCAATCGTGCTCCTTCTTTGCAACTTGAAGCAATACCGCCGCCGTATCACAGAGTACTTAAGGTCAGCGCGTACAGTTGCCATTCTTTGACGATTTCCTATTGGTTTCCCGCATAGCGCCACTAACGGCGACACGGTATCTCAGAACAACGTATCTGTTACCGAGCCAGCCTGATGGCCGAAATTGTGAACACAAAAAATGCACGATGCCATCCTATAGATCTGCACACTACTGAAGAAAAAGTTACTTCATATGATTCCCGTCGTAAGGCACTACATGATGGGCCGCAAAGCACACGCGAAGGCTGGGCGACGGGAGAGAGCAGAAAAGGGCTAGATGATAAGTTGGTGAATGACTTGGTTGGGCGTGTCTCGCTGGAATAGATAAAAGGGAGGAGGTGTGAGCGGAGCTAAGCCACTGGCAATTTTTTTCTTGTCATTTCAGATAACACAACGGTCTACACAGGTTACACCCACTACACGGACTTCCAGAACTGCCTGATTACGACGATCACGTACCGAGACCACGATCGTAAGAAGCTCTCACCATTTTCTAAAGCTAATAAACGATTCTATGCTTGCCTTTAACGTAACTAAAAAAAAAACACCAGGCCTGCGTGGTAGGCGCAGCACAGTCACACCGAAAGCTAGAAGAGCGGTCTTTCAGAGCCTTTTCAAAACACTCAGTGGGCAGGTAACTACTGCAAGAACACTTGCTTGGTACCCACTAGGGCATAAATAATAAACTTTTGGGTAGTAGGCCGGCGTTCGCTTTGCCATTTTTTGTCATTCTTCTGAGAAGCATGGTATACACTAAACACTTGCAATTGATTTTGTGCCAATTGTACATGCAGAGCTGACAAAGATGTGTAATTATGGCTGAAGTGGGTATGCGCCTCAGTTAATAAGGGAACAAGAACAAGCTTTCGTGATGGTTTGCAGCACTGGATGGCCCACTCGTTGCGTTGCTCGCATTGTGCGATGACTAGTTATTCTTTCGCTGTTGTAAATCTTTTATAAGTTGCATTAATATGATTGATTTCCCGACGCCAAACCTGCCTACGGCAAGTTTGTCGACAAGTCACAACCACCAGTGTAGCTCAGTGGTAGAATACTGGGCTCGCAATCAGCGGACCCGGGTTCGAGCCCTACTGTGCCATTGGTGTTAGTTCATGACTGCCTAAAGCATGTTTGACAACAGAATACAAGCACCGGCGCGACTATGTGGTAGAATATTGAGCTGGAGCCCAGCGGACCCTGGTTCAAGCCGCACTGTGCTTACAGTTTTCACTGTATTAAAAGCCGAATGTCATTAGCCACAAAACAAACAGTATAGTTACTCTTACTTAAGTGAAAGTGCGTCTTGAGTTAAATATTACTCGAGCGCCCCGCTGCGGTGGTCTAGTGGCTAAGGTACTCGGCTGCTGGCCCACAGGTCGCGGGTTCAAATCCCGGCTGCGGTGGCTGCATTTCCGATGGAGGCGGAAATGTTTTAGGCCCGTGTGCTCAGATTTGGGTGCACGTTAAAGAACCCCAGGTGGTCGAAATTTCCGGAGCCCTCCACTACGGCGTCTCTCATAATCGTATGGTAGTTTTGGGACGTTAAACCCCACAAATCAAATATTACTCGAGCTGCGATCAACGTGAAAACGTTTCATACAAGTCCGCAAATGGTGCGCTCAAATTTGAGCTTGCCCCACCGTGGTGGTTTAGTGGTTAAGGTACTCGGCTGCTGGCCCGCAGGTCGCAGGATCGAATTCTGGCTGCGGCGGCTGCATTTCCAATGGAGGTGGAAATGTTGCAGGCCCGTGTGCTATGATTTCGGTGCACGTTAAAGAACCCCAGGTGGTCGAAATTTCCGGAGCCCTCCACTACGGCGTCTCTCATAATCATATGGTAGTTTTGGGACGTTAAACCCCAATAAATATTACTCGAGCGCCCCGCTGCGGTGGTCTAGTGGCTAAGGTACTCGGCTGCTGACCCACAGGTCACGGGTTCAAATCCTGGCTGCGGTGGCTGCATTTCCGATGGAGGCGGAAATGTTTTAGGCCCGTGTGCTCAGATTTGGGTGCACGTTAAAGAACCCCAGGTGGTCGAAATTTCCGGAGCCCTCCACTACGGTGTCTCTCATAATCATATGGTGGTTTTGGGACGTTAAACCCCACATCACTCAATCAAAGTTGAGCTTGATATATTTTTGTTTGGCGCTGAGAGGCACGTGAGAACCACTTGTGCAAGTAATTCAGGGGGCCAGGGGGGTGCAAAGATAAATGATAATTATCGCTGTCAGCAGCCGATTCAACTAAAATTTAGCAGTTAACTTTTCATTGGCTGTGGTAACTTAGTATATTTATATTGAAAGAAAATGTAGGCAGTGGTGTTTGAACGAAGTTTCAGTTGGAAGGTTTTTTTTTCAAGCAAGCCTGTGCTCCGAAATATCCGGCTCCAAAGTTTAACTGTCTTTCGCATGCTTACGCATGTAGGAGGGGGAGGTCAGCGCGAAGCTCCTTCCTGAAGTGACGCATCCGTTGCGTGTGTTGTCAAGTCAAGTGTGTGAATAGGGCGGAAGCGTAGGCATACATGATAGCAATTACATTTGCCCTATCATCCGGTTAAATTAAAAATCGAAGAAGCCTTGCAAGCAGTGTCGTAGCACACAACTGCATTGCCTCTAACGATAGTAACAGATACGGTGCTGAGAGAATAGTGCGGGCAGAGAATATGGATAACAGTGCGCGTGCGTAATAATGACTTTAGAGAAGCGTGCATGGTCGTTGCCGGGGATACGCGAATAGCGTGATTTCTGATGTGTGCGTACTGTAACTTTTATTGAAATCAAAAGCAACAAAACTCTGCCAATATTAACTGAAACAGTTTTATCTTCGCTAACGCACATTTCGTGCTGCTATATAAGCTTATTTCAGTCATGTACAAATCTCATCAAAACGCTTCACCTCTAAAGACGTCAATGACCCAGAAAGTGTTCAAAATGTCTGCCGTCAGCAGTAACGCAAAGAATGAACTGCTCTGGCATCGACTCGATGACTCGGCGCATTACTTCTGCAGGAATACTCGCACATTCACATGTTATTCCGTCCTTTAGGTCGTTAACATCGCTGTTCACTGCTATTTAAACTCAATCTTTAACGTAGCCCCAAATAAGGTAATCGAGTGGAAATAAGGAAATAAGGAAATCGAGTGGAGAAAGACCAGTAGATGTTGGTGGCCAGCAAATCACCCCTGGGCGCCCAATCTACTGATGTGGTAAACGTCTGTCCGACCAGCCCTTTGCCCTGGTCTAAAATTGTGGTGGTGCTCCATCATGCTGAAACCACACTCGGCGCAGGTCATTCTGAGAAAGACTGCAGACAAGGTCATCAATGACAACACTTAATATTTCTTCTGTGTTCATATTTCTTGTCAAGTTGTCCAAAAATTGTCAGATCTCACGTACATCGTGACTCGATCATATGCGAAGCATGAAGGATGAAGGTTGATATGTCATTTTAAAATCAGCACAACGCTACGAGGCGCATGGACGTAATACACAGTAAACCCAGGATGAAATGTTGCTGCTGCAAGCATGTTGTTTAGAGTCGCGTAACGACAGCACCCCCAACGTTTGCGATACCAGCAGCAGCAGCGAGAGGCATGTACATTTTGACGTACATGACTTCCACGACATGCTTAACAAGTTTACGCCTGGAATTTGTGTTCGTTCTTTATTCACGTCACGCAATACTAAACTTGCTATATGTGAAGCTGACGAAACGGCAGTGAGCGCGGAATAAGCGTAGCCTGTGGTCATCTTTTACATGACATGCATATCATGATTATTATGTTTGGACGTGTCATGTATGCCTTCGACATCCGTTCGCATCCCGTTATAACAAATTTGGTATATGTGAAACTAGCTAAACGGCCACGAGCGCATCATGAGCGTGGCATGCAGTCATGTTCCTACATGACACGCATGTCATGAGCTAAACGGCCATAAGCACATCATGAGCGTGCAATTCAGTCATGTTCTTACATGACACTTGTCTTGATTATCATGTTTGGACGTGTCACTTATACCTTCGTCGTCCGTTCACGTCCCGTGATACCTAATCTGGTATAAGTGAAGCTAGCGAAAGGACCGCAAGAGCACCATAAACGTGGTATGTAGTTTTGATTTATATGGCATGCATGTCAAGATTTCCACATCAGGGCCTGTCACTTGTGTTCGCCATGCATTCATGTCTCATCATACCAGTTTTGCAATATGTCATGTGAACGAAACCACAGCAAGAGCAGCAAGAATATGACACGTAAATCATTGACATTCATGACATACGTGTCACTGTTTTCATGTTATGACTAGTCAAATATGTTCTTCATAGAGCCATGTTATGCCATACTAAGTTTGGTTTCAATACCATTATTGAAACGGCCAGGAGGGCTAAACGTCGTAGGCAGTTAGATAGATAGATAGATAGATAGATAGATAGATAGATAGATAGATAGATATTGGCAAAGTCGCCGAAGTTAACTGAGGATTGCTTCGCATTTAAAGCAGAGGTTCGATGATTCTGTCTCTGACAATGCCGCACCGCGAATTCACACTCCAGCGAAAGTGATGCTTGTGCTGCCTCAACCAGTGTCGACTTTCTTGCGCCCAATAATGGGGGTTGTGAAGAATAACACTTTCATTTCGCCAAAGCCGAGCTTCATCAGTCCAAATTATGATGTAAAAAATCATTTTCTTGATCACTTTTATTGAGGCCCCAATAGCAGAAGTTACCTCTCCTTTAAAGTCCGTCTCGTTTAGGCCCTGCTGAAGCTAAACGTAATGTAGGTAGAAATTGTGCTTTCTTAGAACATTTGTGGATGTTCCAACGCTGTAACCGCACTGATCGGCAATCTGTCAGATGCTGAGTGCTGGCATCGAGGTTACGCACGCGACAACGCCGCTTTCGAAGTATTCATCAACGATTGCCTTCGTGGTTCATCTTGGAAGACGGACAGAGCCTGTTGTACGAAAACGTCGAAATAGGTTTATGACAGTGGGCTTTGTTGGAAGGAAATATTGTGGGTGGCGAGACGCGTAAAGCTCCATTGGTAACGAAGCGTTGCCATTGATTTCAGTCATTGCAAGCACTACGACCACATCTACTTTGGTAGAATATCTCACGCCAGAAGCAGCCATTATAGCTCGAAAGTACTCTCCATAGATTTCCTTGGTAGACCTTCGATACAAAGACGTTGTGCTACCGGAGGTACCCTAGTACAGGAGGGTCAAGCGAAATCGTTCACAAGAAGAGATCTCCGCGCGCTCTAAAGTCACTAAAAACGTCGCAAAAATTGTCTCCTGTTATCGCGTTCTTCAAGATCATGCGTAAGGCTCATGGCGCGCCATGTTGTCACAATTTATTTTCGCCTGCCAAAAGGGCAAGGGTAATTGTTATAATCTATGCCTTCACTTTCACCTCCTTCGCACACCAAACACCACACGCAACAGATGCGTCACTTAAAGGAGGAGCTTTGCGCAGA